TGCTGAACCTGGTCACCAGCAGTTTGTCCAGCAAATGTTGCAGGCACTTGCTGGTGCAAATGCTCAGGTAAAGTACATCTCTATATTTCATATTTTTTTGTTTCTTTACTTTTTCATTGTAAATCACTAGAAAGTAGGCTGATAGTTGAGAGGAGGGCTCTCTGGATGCTTCTGGTCAAAGGAGAGCAGAGGAAGCTTAAAAGTGCTGTTGCAGCTGTGCAAGTAAACGTTGGAAAAACATCAAATTTGAATAAAAGTGTCCTCCAAACAGTTAATTTTTGTACATGCATCTTAATACCCTTGAATTTCTGAAAATATTGTAAAGATTGATGCAGATTGAGGTGATAAAGTTCACTGACAACTGAAGTGTGGGTTCAGGCAAGGGAAAAGCTTAAGCATATTGAACACCATTACCTCTGTCCTTTTTGTCTGTATTGCTGGCTGTTACTCTCTAGCTGTGACTAAGCCTCTGTCCCACACTTTGAAATGGCCACACTGATTAATTGAAGCCTGAATTGGTTGTATGGCTTCACTGATACCCTGCAGGGCCAGCCTGTGCAGTGCATTTTGTTAACATATTAGCAAGATTAAGGGCTTCCAGATAGCTCTAGAAGTCAAGCAAAGGTAACAGCTTTGCCTGTAATTGTAGAGTGGTGAGCAAGACTTTCTTTAAAGGATGCATGCTGTTAACTCTGAGGAGGGCTGTGTGAAACAACACCCTTGCGCTGTGGTACATACCCAGTGTAATGGCAGACTGCTGGTGTGGAAGGGGCAGCTCTGCTTGTTCCTCCTCTGTTGCCACAGGGTGAATTAGCTGAGCTTGCTGATCTCACAGAAGTTTTTCTATTGTCTAACCAAGAGATAGTGTTGGTCAGTGTCACTGTAGGAATCCATATTCTCATATGTTTTAATGTACACTGTGAAATCTTACACTGCTGAGTCAACATTCTGTTTAGTTTGCATGGGGGAAGCAGGTGGTTCTTAAATTTCAGATTACATCTTTACATTGTATTGATATGGAACCATATGCAGATTTTTAACACCAGTAGTAATTTCTTGATGTATGAAACTGTGGAATTAGAACAAAAGGAAAATTGGTAGTAGCTGCACAAGTTTTGTGTTGGTATCTAGATAGACTCATTGATTTCAAAAATACAATTGTTCTGATTCAAAAATGCATCTGAACTGAAGATCATACATCTGAAATCTTGCCGAAGTTTGCGATGAGTTGGTGTGAGCAGGACCATCCCATAAAGTACAGCTTACAGTTTGCCTTAGGCTGACGCTTTCTAACGGTTAGAATTCTGGTAATTGTAGTCAATAAATAGTTGGAGCATAAAAACAGAGGTGATTTTTATGTCAAGGAAAGCAGAGATATTATGATGTTCACCATTGGTGACAGTAGTTACATCATAATCATTGCTGTTCCACATTACTAGGTTGAACTCTCTTTCATTTAAAAAAAGATATATCTATATGCATATGTTTAAGAAACTGTTCATGGGACATAAATTTACCTAATTTAATTTTCAATCACTTTTTATCAAGCAGGCAACTTTTCCTGTAGTTCAAGAATGTCATGTAAGTGTACATACTCTTAAATGTGAAGCAGCTATGATTTGTTAAAAAAATAATTCAATTGTGAATTGAATTTATGTTATAATACAGTTTCAGGATCTTGAAAAAGATGTAGTCAGAAATAGTAAAGGCAGGGAGTGGCGCAGAACCAACTATGTTTAAATCCTGTACTTTTCTAAATATGTGTTACACTTTTATAGCTTGAAACTTTCTTCTTAGCAGTTACAAAACCCAGAAGTTCGATTTCAGCAACAACTGGAGCAGCTGAGTGCAATGGGCTTTCTGAACCGTGAAGCAAACTTACAAGCGCTAATAGCAACAGGAGGAGACATCAATGCAGCTATTGAAAGGCTGCTTGGCTCACAGCCTTCATAGCAGTGTTTCTTTAACTTGAAAAAAATGTAATTTATTTTTGATAACAGCTCTTAAATCTTTAAAATATTTGCTTTATTTCATTCTGACTCTTGGAATTGTCTTGTTATAACTAAAATCGGTCTGATACATTTTAAGGTGGAGTGCAGTAGTTTTCTTCGAACAGTGGGGATCAATCCATTGTCACTCTGTTGCATGCATCACGCTTCTTTTGTTCTGCATAATTTGTGATTTTTTTGAAAGAATATCAGCTTTCAACAGTTGAGTGAACAGGTTTTGTCTGACCTACAACTGTCCAGTTTATTTACTACTTAAACATTAGCCTTCAGTAGTAATTTATGTAGAATACAAATTAAAAAGGAAACAAATTAATTGAAGTTACAATTTGTGGGTACCAATACTGCTTACTGTGATTTTGGCATGTATTTTTTTTGCTAGCAAAATGCTGTAAGATTTATACCACTTGAGTATCTGCCATTTTTTGCTTTAATTTGTATAAACACAATATATACAACAGAGACAGCTCATTTCTAGAAATTTACGCATTGCAATAGAATGAGATAATAAGTAATGCAAAAAAAGCCGGGGAGAGGGGGAAAATTGAAAGACATGGTTTTGGTGTACAATCTTCCAGCATCTTTGGTAGCCATCTCAACAAAAATGTGTAAGCAAGTTCAGTTAAGATATACTAGAAATACTCTTCTGGTTCTCTTTACATCTGATTGTCCAGAAACTTGCATTGTAACATTGCATTAATATTCACAAAGATTAACTGTAAATTACTTTTGTCATTGTGCAAATTAGAAGGGTGCTGCCCTGTGCTCTGGAACTGCTTTAAGGCTTTTTGGCTTGTTCCATTGAGACTTCAACATGTATTTTGATTTTTAACTGGCAACATTACTTTCATGTCAGCGTGCTATTCTAATTGCTTTTAACCACCATGTAAAAAATACTGCATATCTTCTGAGTTTTTCTTGGTAGTTACTTCTCTTGTGCACAGGTAATAAATGAATTTAAAAATCTTTAAGGATCTTCTCTCAGTTTGTTTGCAGTTGATGATTACCTAGGATTCAAGATGAGTGACCAGCTTAAGAGTGGGCATTTCAGTGTAAGCTCAGAGAACATTCATCAGGTCTGGGCTGTTTAGTAAATGACTCTTGGAGTGTGAGGTGGAGGGAAAAAGAGTAAGAGGCATATGATGTTGAAGACTACTATCTTAGATAAACTGGGATTAGCAGAATAAAAGACGCTGCTCTGTGTGTTACTGAATAACAGCTGCTTTTTATTGGTCTTCCATGTCAGTGCAGTTGTGAACATGCTCACTGAATTCCAGTATTGCTTTTAAACGCTTGGTTTGAACACACTTACTTTTGATGGTACAAGTATAAATTCATTTTGCTCTAAAAAGAATTGTTTGCAAAGAGCTTAAAATTACCCTCTTTCACTCGAAGTTGTTAATCAGTTTGAAGCAAAATTACATTGCGATATGAAGGAAGAAGCTGAGCACACTTCAACGTGTAGTGAAATATTAAAAACTTTAGCAAAGCCATGTATGCAGTTTTGTTGGCAGTAACTGCATTGTATTCTTATCACAGAAGAGAAGTTTCACTTGCTGTCCAGTAATCTTGTCTCTTGCTTTTCCAGTGAGTAAATGGATTAAATATTATTGATGCATGGCACTGGGAAAAGTTCAAGAAAATCTCTTGGTTGGCAGCCTCTGCCTTTGGGTCAAAGTTTCATGGATGCAGCAGCATGGAGTGTTCAGTAAACAAAAATGAATTAAAAATAGAATCTGTTGTTAAGATGAATTTAATAAAATAAAAACCTTTTAAAATACTTAGTTTGGGTACAAAATTATTCTTACTTTTATTTCCTAGCCAGTGATCAGACCCATTATCATACCTTCACAGTGACTTTTGTTGGGTAGGTAGCTTTCACTGCACTAAGTATAATGCTGTGATACGAGAGTGATGGACAGCAAATAGTTTCTGTAGAATAGTCACTACTATTTTACAGTTAGTTTTATAATGGCTTTTTATTAGGATCTTCAAAGTAACTAATTTGACTTGACTTTATAGTGTCCCTTACTGAGACCTTACTTTAAAAAAAGTTAAGACCCCTCATCATTCAGAAGACAGGTCCTTTTAATAATACAATCCATAACACCCAAATAGGCTACTGTCAAATGAAAAAGTGAAGGTGAGGAGGGGAAGGGAATGATTTTCACCAAGCTTTACCAAGACACTGAAGTGAGGAATCTGACTAGCATAAACACTTTATTGAGACAACATTCAGTTCCCCTACGTTAGTATTTCATTTGCACATGACAAACTAAGAGATGCTATATTTGAAGTCATATTTTATTGCAGTTCAACAGGAGATGAAGTTTGCCCAAAGTTCTACAATGAGCCTTTGAGCTGAGTTTCCTTCTTGATGTACAATCGATATTTATCAGTAACAGTCAACTAGTAACAGCAGCTACTGACTTCCTTGTAAGTCATAAAACGCTGAGCCATCTTTTGTATCGGAGGAGTTTTAGTTTTGTCAGAAAACACAGTAAGTAGAACAAGGTTTATAGGTAGCATAGGCTTTTTATTACAACTTTAACAATAAGAAGAAAGATCACACTTCTGGTTTAATAGCATATTACGATGTTTTTGTCCACCCTCCATACTCATTGCCTCTTTTCCTGTCCCTGTTTAAAATTCTCTCTTCCAAAGCATCATCCACACTTTCTTTCAGAAGCAGCCTTACAGTTCACACTGAGCACTTTGAGAACTTGTATTTGAAAAGTGATGCTTGCATTTTGGATGAGAAGGAGGGCATGTGTGCCTGAAGCTTGTCTTTATTTTCCTGCTTTCTTCTTTTTCCCTGTGTTGTACCAAATGATCTGCTAGGATTGTCTACAAAACTGCCTTGCCTGATCATTGAACTACCACTAGAGAAAGTAACTGCTGCAAAAAAGAAAAAAGCTGAAAGTCCTGGTAGTGTGAACTGACAGATGCCATTTAAAAGATTTAAAATGCATGCAGTACTACTAGGACTGTGACAGCAGGAGGGCTAGTTTTGTAAAGGATGTGGTCTGTCTGACTCTTTTCTTGATTCAGTGCCTACCTGGTAAAGTAACCACCTCAATTCAGAGCTGAGTTGGCAGGCAGCTGGGTCTGTTCCTTTGGCTGTACAGATAACCCGAGCTGTTAAAACTGCCCTTCCTGTGTTTAATGTATGAATGGATACTGCTGTTGTGATCGAACATTTCATTTTTACTTCCTCATTATAGCATTGCAAAGTGCTTATGCTGTAGTAGGTACAGTATTTACATGTTACAAACTGCTTAGCACATGTTCTTAAGGCGGTATAGTGCAAGTAGCTTCCATAGGCAATTCGTGCTCATGGCAGAGACAGGAAACACACTTTTTGATTCCAGATGTTTCCTCCTTAGTTTCTGCTGCCTTTGCTAAAGGTATTTCAAAATATGGACAGAAAACTTGCATCCAAATGCCCTGAGCTAAATATAGATAACCTGCCCAACTAACCTGAATTTCAAGTAACCTGAATACAACATCCCTAATATAATGTCAATTAAAAAAATAGGATTGTTTAGGCAGGTAAATGACACTTGTGTACAAGGGTTGTTCTGCAGTCTTTCCCTGCCACTGTATACATACACAGCGTTGTTAACATTGGAGAGTGGTTGTCTGTGGATGTCATTTGGATGGCATCTTAATCTTTTAACTTGTCATGCAAAGGATGTAAGTGAACAGCAGTAATGCTTTGTTGTCTTTCAGAATAGCGGGTAACAGTCTAGTTAACTTGATTAAGCTGACAACTACCTTCAATGCAGTATCTGGAACTGTCTCAAATTGTGGAGCTAGTGTCCACAGCCAGCCACGTGAAATGGAAGTTCAGTGCTCTTCTTAAGCAGTTTGTGTGTTTCTGCAGCTGCACGTGAACAGCCCAGCAGAAGCCAAGAGGCCTTCCCTGCAGAGGCCAAAAAGCCAACCATGCCTGCAAGCCTCTGTGGCTTGAGCACTGCGAAGTTCCAAGATGTGGCACTGTGATAGAAGTTTAAGAAACAGTAAATTGCAACAGCAAAGTATCTAAGTCCAGCAAAGTACATAAGGCTGGTTCTGTGTTTGGGAAAATAAATCAGATAATAACATCAGATGGAACTAATGAAAATCTTCCCAGGAGTCTTGCAACCTTCATTTTCTAAATAAAGAGCAAGCAGGAAGAGTTGAGGGAAAACAAAGGAAAGTTGTGTTCCTGAGGATTCCACCTGCACTTTCCAGTGAAAATAATGGCTTCTTGCTTCCTACTTGTTTGTGAGAGGGGCATTTTTTTTTGCTCTATCTGTACCCCTGTGAGAGGTACCAAGGTGGAGGCAAACTCCCTCCTCTTCTGAGATTTTGAGAGAGAAATGCAGATGGTTGGCATTACCTTCAGTTCTAAAAAAAAATGGTGAACACAGTAGTTCATCTGTGTACTGCCAGCTGCCCTTTCTTGCAAAAAGGAGGTCCTCTTGAGCACTAGGTCTGCAAAATACAACTAGCTTTAGGTATCTTTGAATGGAAGGATGTAAGTGGGAATTATGGTGTTCAAGCACCAGCTAATTAGGACATAACAGACTGAAGCACTGAACTCCAGTAGTGAAAACTGTGCCTGTCATTCAATAGATTAATAGCATGTTAATTTAAACAGTCACCTTGTTGTCCTTTCAGCATCATTTGAACTGTGGAAATACTGTTATACTTTAAGAAAAAGGCAAATATATTAAAAAGTTAAGGGAAGGAAATATTCCTACCATTGGAGCAAAGAACTGAGAAATACCCCAGCCTAATTCGAAGCAGCATGAACTGCCTGTAAGTAAAAGCATACTTCCATTTTGTTTAGAAAAGACTTCCAAAAGCCGAGGTACATACATAGACTTCCCTTATAGAGAAGGGTTTTTAAGTGTTGAGCGCTTCTCCTGCTAGTGCCAGCCACTTTGTGAGCATGCTATAAATGCTGACAAGCTGATCTGAAAGTTAATCCAGCCTTTTTGGCACTCACACTTGAAAACGTTGTCCAATTTTTTTATTATTTGAAGGTCTGATTGTACCTGTTTGTGACAGGATGCAGCTGCTTTCCCATCACTGTACAGTGTCCTGATCTAGTTTTATTGTGTCTTTAAAAAGCATAAATCTGTATTTAATAACGGGTATATTGGAAAAGGTCTTTGTCGGTAAAATGTATTGGGAAAATGTGAAGACTTGCTTAATTAAAAGCAGAGGTACCACAAGAGGGTGCCGTTTCTTTGATTTTATAGCTACTGAACTTCACAGTTTGTTGAGTCATTGGTCTGAAAAGGTCTCTGAAATTTGACGGTGTTTGTTAGGAATCAGCCAGATCTGCCTGTCTCTTGCACTTAACTCTGGCTCTGCGCCTTAGGCATCCACCTTGGCTCTCAGAATAAAGAGTCTCTGAATTGAGGGCATTTTGTTTTCTAGAGCTGCCGTAGCGTACAGCAGCAGACTACAATTGGTAACTCCCTGGCATTCTCCATCTAGGTCACAAACAAGTAGGAAAAGACCCCTTCTGGGTGGGTGTTAATGTCTGCAATCCCAAATCTGTATCTAAAAAGGTCTACTTTCAGTCAGGTAATGCCCATTTATTGCACTGATCAAAGCACAGTAGTTTCTCTATTAAACCACAAAGCCCTTACTACTCACACAAAATGAGAATGAAGACAAACATTTTTCAACTAGTTATCCAGCTAAAAATTACACCAAAGATGCTTTGAAACACAGGTTTTGCTTCTAAAGGAGTTCATCCATCATCCTAAAAAACTTCATGATGCACTAAAAATAATCCATGAGCAACAGCATATGGGGATGATTCCATTCAAATGTGACTTGAATCTTAGATATTATCTGCAATTTTCATTAAGTTAAGCTAAAAAATCACCTCTTTTTGTAACAAGGCATAAACAGCCTTTTAAAAAACACTTCAGCAATGAAAAATAATTTTAACCTTAAGTTCTGTGAGTTAGGTAACTGACTCAATATTTGGAATTTTCTGATCACAAAAGAAGTTGTGAAAAATTTGTATTAGAAATAGCTTGATTTTAAGCTTTAAAGCAGTTGTATGGACACCTATCCCTAAGCATATGTGGGAGTGGGCATCAGCTGAGGTAGAAGAGTAAAGGACACCATAAAAGGGAAGTACAGGAGAAGGTACAACTGTGAAAAAAATTTTCTAAAAGAAGGAAACATCTATCAGTCTTGTATTCAGTGTGTCAGATCACTGGCTGACTCACTCTCCACTGCACTTCATCAACTGGTGTACTTTGGACATGAACGACAGGAGTTCAGAAACAATATGATGCCTCTTACACTTTATTTCTAAAGCTTTCCATACAATTATATTTTGTATATTGCCTCACCAGCACTCCCTTTTTTCTCACATTTTTCAGCTTGGAGTTCATACAGTAAGAGTTCACCAAAGCTCCTGTGAAGGCACCAGTGCCCTGGTGAGGTTAGCAAGGACACAAACACAGAGGCTACAACTTGCTGCAAATCTGGCAGAGAGAGTGTGGTAGTGTCAAGTACAGAACTTCATCGTGCATGGTCTTGCCTCTCATACTTCTAGAAAAATAGATACATTCTTTCTATCAAAGCTGCAAATTATTTAATCACTTAATAGCAGATATGCCCATCTCCATGTTTGACAGAGTAAAAATTAAAATTAAGAAGTTGAATTATTTTGTGTGACCCCTGGCAGGATTTTCAAAAGCAGACTTTTTCTAAAATGCAACCAAACTTTAACTTCATATGGTGAAGGGTTTAAAAAGTTGACAATTTTTGAAAATTTCATCTTTTATGTCTTTTATAGAGCCATGATAAAAATACCAACAGTAGTAAACCAGCTCTTAACATTGCAATCCATTTAATTATTAGGAAAAATAAGTTGTTTTTATTTAATAATTAAAATGCTGTTTCATACCCTTAATATCCTTAAGTGAATTTCTGTAGGTGTAATTCAGAAAATTACTCCAAAAAAGCCTCACTCTGAAAAATGGTATGCTCAATCTCCAGCACTATTTCAGGGAGAGGTTTTTCTAGACTGACAGTAATAAAGCTTTCTGGTGCACTAGGAGGCTCCAGAGTCTCAAACTGAGACTTGAGAAGTTCAGGTGGCATAAAATGTCCTCTCCTCTTCTCTAGACGGCCAGCAATGATGCCTGTGGGCCCATCCAAGTGAACAAAGAGGATCTTAACTGCTGCATTTTCTCCTGGTTGCTCTGGCTGGTGGCTTTCAAGTGCAGATGCTCCACCAACTAACACATGCCTATACATCTTCTTCAGTGCAGAACAGGCCAGGATTGCATCTTGTCCAGATGAGTCTTCTCTACCAAAACCGAAAAACATACATCCACATGTGGTATAACAAAATGGCTCATCAGTTCTGCTAACAAGGGAGACAAGCTGTGGGTCCTCGCAGAGGAGAGCTTTGAGAGTAATGGCATTTTTTCACTATGTTGACCGGATTTTGAAACCAAATTTCCAAGGCAGGTGAAGATGTGATTTGAAAATGAGGTCTGGCTGCACAGCTTCCTCAGTCTTGGGGACCTTCTTTATTAACCACTGTTCTTTCCTAAATTAAATTCAATTCCAGCACAAGGAAGTGCCATGATAATTTCCTTAATTGCTGAGAACAGCAGCAACCCAGTATCCATACAAAATCCCATCCATTATCTACACAATTACTATGCTAATCTGTCTAAAGAGTAAGTG